TAGCATTTAATATTCCTTCATCATTTTCTAGATTACATTCATCATCTCCATTAATGGCTAATTCAAATGTTTGGAGAGATCCAATGAGTTCATCCACCCTCATCTGGATGATGTCTCGAGCCTCTTCTATGGCAGTAACCTTCATGTCAAATCTTTTGGGAAGAGATCTAAGGATCTTTCTAACAAGTTTTTCCTATGACATCCTTTCTCCTAAAGCACTGGATGCATTGGTTATCTCAAGAACATTCATATGGAAGTCATGAATGCTTTCATCATCTTTCAATCTCAAGTTCTCAAACTTTGTAGTGAGTAGCTGAAGTCTTGATATCTTCACCTTAGATGTACCTTCATGAGTAGTTTTCAGTATTTCCCAAGCATCTTTGGCCACCACACAAGTGTTAATCAATTTGAAAATATCCTTATCCACTCCATTGAATAGATCATTCAGGGCTTTGGAATTTCCTAGAGCCAGTTCATCCTCTTCTTTAGTCCATTCCTCTTCAGGTTTTAACTCAGAAGTCTTCTTTCCATCTTTGTCCAAAACAACAGGATGTTCCCATCCTCTTATGATAGCTTTACATGAATTAGTATCCATAGACTTCAGAAAAGCCATCATGCGTGCTTTCGAGTAGTCATAATTGGTTCCATCCATAATAGGTGATCTGTTAACAAATCCTCCTTCTTGTCCATCGTACCATAAAGTAACTTCCCTAGATCTCACCCAGATACAGAGTAGGATGCCTGATCTGATACCAATTAAAATTCTGGTATCAGATATGAGATGTCGAAGGCGAGGTCATGACACTAATATCTGAACTGATATCAACTAGAGAACAAGGTAATAAACACAATAAAAAGCAGTAAACAACACAAGCAATTATTAACCCAGTTCGGTGCAATGTCATCTATGTCTAGGGGCTACCAAGTCAGGAAGAAAATTCACTAAAACATAATTAGTTTGAAGATTCTCAGCAAACAACCTCTGGTTTACAATCTTCTCACCTAATATTTACCCGTGCAATTTCTACCCAGGACTCTTCTAGATATGAGACCCCTCTCACTTCCCTCAATCACTCACCAATGATAAGATTCAACAAGAAACAAAAGAATACACACTTAAAAAACAATACTTGATCTTGCTGAAAAGCTTCAATCAATGACAAAACACTCTTGGTTAAAAGCTTAGATTAAACACTTACAACACAATAAACTCAGTCCAGTTCAAACATCTAAGTGATGAATGAATGACTCACAAGAACACAATACAACCATAATTCTTAAGCAATGCACACACAAAACCTAGCTTCACTAGTCTTCAATTAGCATTGACAAGTCTTTATATAGCAAACGATCTTCATGGGCTTAGGCATTAGCTAAAGCCAAATTAGACCAAATCAAATAAATCTTCAAGACTTCTCACGATTATAGCCATGAAAATAGCAACAAAAGATTCCATAATTAACTCCACTAAAAAAGCAACAAAATACTTTTGTTTCAAATAAAATCACGATGCTCCATCGTGATTTTCGCCAGCAATCTCTCATCAAGAAAACACAAAGGATTGCAAACAAAGCGTAATAAACAAAACACAACATGTTATCTAGTTCTGTAATCACATGTTAGGATATCAGTCTTGACATCATGAACTGAAGCTCTACAGCATCTGAAAAACCAACCTGCATAGATGTTTAACTCACATGTCAAGACATCTTGCACAACACATAGCTGCAACAACCTATTTTAGCAAAAATGCAGCCAACATAAAACTTACACCATTAATAGCACAAGCTTATCATCAAAATCTCCTCTAGCTATGTTGGCTTCTTCACCCTTGATAACCTTGTTTGACCAGCAATCAACATCAAAATGGCCAAACTTGTTGCAAATGTAACACCAAACCTTTCTCTTATCAAACTTCTTTTTTCCCTTCTGAACATTCTTATGTTTCTTCTCTTCAGAGTTGGAGAGTTATGACTTCTAAACATCACCACCATACTTTTTCTTATTCTCAAGCCATGCTTGCTTCTAGTTCTTCTTTCCAGAAGAAGTTTTCAAAGTCCGAGCTTTTAGAGCCTGTTCTGACTCCCTTTTAGAGTTTCTTTCAATCAGACGCAACTCTTGTGCCTCTAAACTACTCTGTAGCTCTTCAATTCTCATGGTGCTGGTGTCTTTAGAGTGTTTATGGCTACTACCATATAATCATACTTAGGATTAAGTGATCATAGTACATTTACAATGATTACTTGTTACTCTAGAGATGTAATCAGACACCTTCTCATTGTTTTTCATTATGAGATTCTCATATTGCTTGCGTAGGGATTTCAATTTTACTTTCTTCAATGATGCGTCACCACCAAAACATTGTAACCGTGTATCCCACGTTACCTTCGTCGTCGTCGAATCAACAATTTTCTCAAATACCTCTGTATCCACACACTGGTGGATATAGAACAATGCCTTACGACCATTCTTCATTATTTCATGTTACGCATTTATTTGTGCTTCTGTTGCATTTACTACAACAAATGTATAACTGTCATTGACGAGATTAAGAACATCTTGAGCTCCGAACGACACACACATCTAAATCGACCATTGATTCCAATTCTTTCTGTCGAATATTGAAAGCTTTGTTCAAGATATCATTTCTTCCATTCATCTTCGTTCTTATGCAAATCACTCAGTTCTCACCAACACTCGTGTTTTCAAACCATGAGAATCAAGACCTATGATTTTCTTTGATTTCAAACTTCAATTCAACGCGGATTTCAGGAATGAAATCAATCACACACCTCATAATGTGTGACTGATTTCGTTCCTATGAATCAAACTTGAGTTCTAGATACCAATTGTTGGAGTTCAACAATGAATCTCCATTGATGCACAAAAATTAAAGAGATGAAGAAGAATTGCAAAAAATAGAGAGAACAAAATTTTATAACTAACTTTCTCAATCTTCTAATTCACAAAATCTATTCCAATATCTAACTAACTTTAAATTTTATAATAATCCAAACTCAAATACATACTAAATATAACTAAAATACAAACACAAATATAAATTTAAATAATAAAGTCTCAAAATCAAATTCAATCTTAAATGTTGAATTACATTCAACATAATTAAGATTTATGTTCTTTTTCCCATGATCCAAAACACTATTTAAGGGAAATAAAAATTCGCTTCACCTAGAGCAACAAGACGAGTTGCTTCTTTAATTTAGTTATAAACCTTTTTTCCCCTTACTTTTCTCACGTTCAAACAAGGAAGAACAAACCCAAGCTAGTAGTAAAACTTAACCAATAAGCTGACTTATTTGATTGGTCGAAACAAAACACATAAACTTCCAACATTAAGACACAAACAAAACAAACCAAACCCCATTGGTGGAGAAAACGGGAAGCCCTAAGTTATTCCCTGCACATGAGGTCACGCGGCAATAAACCAAAAATTAAAATATGGGCCCCACTTCAATAGCGACGTGTTTGGCTACGATTTCTGCCAACTCTTCTGACTCAGAAACATTTTCGAGGAACTCGATGAACTTATCAACGGTCGTTTTGTCTTCAACGGCTATTTTAATAAACCAAATCCAACGGTTGTGGATGATATGGCGGTTGCCGCCCTACAGTGTTCCACGGGGTTCAACTATTGATACCTATAAGAAAGGTCGCCGACTGCACCGGTTGTCGGTAATTTAAAAGAAATATTCACATGTGAAAACCGTAACTGTTAAATTAATGCAATAAAACACTCATTACTCATTTGTCCTTTAACTCTTTTTTTTTTCTTCTCTTTTTTTCAGACGGGTTGATAAATATAATAATATTGTTGAAAAGACACAACTCTTTTATTAGAGGTTGAATATTATTTTTATTCCTTATTGATTTTTTGATTTTTGTGTGTGTGTTAGATTTGTTGAATAACTATTTAAATTTTGTTATATCAATTTTTTTTCTTTTTAATTAACGGATTTTTGAATTTTTTCGTCGCTAATAAACTATTTTAATATTAACATTAAATTATTAACTTTAATATTAAATATATATTATAAAGATTAAATTTAGTATATATTAATTTTGGAACAATGAAGACAATGAGGATGGGTGATTCAAACTAATACCTTAAAGTTGAGTTAAGTAAATGCAAATTATTGATTTAAAATTAAGTTTTATTTATTAATACCTATATATTAATATGAATAAATTATTGATACTTATAAACTAATAATTAAAAAATAACAATAAAATAAAATTAAACATATTTATAAGAACAAAATTCAAAGAAAGAAAAACATATTTTTTTTCTTCACATTTTTATTTAGCTTTAATTGTTTGACTTACCATTTATTTTATTCTCTTCATAAAATGTAGTTATTTAAGTTAATTTTTTCCCGTCTATTTTATTATAAATATTATTCTAACATTCTTTTTGATATTGTCTTTTCTATTTTTACCACTCAATCAATGCAATATAATTTTATAAACATAAATTACATATTTAAACATAACATTATATAAAATGCATGATAAAAAATCATAATTGATTTATCTTGAAATTGAAAATATATTTAAAGTATGTATTTTATTTAAGTGAAATTAGTTGTGAAACGAGTAAAAAAACCGTTGAGTTAGAGTATCTTGCCATATCAAAAGGTGTGCAAACAGTGGCATGCTTGAAAATAAAGGAAGACCCTTCTCTTTAAAAAGCAGGGTCCCTTCTACCATAAACTTCACGTTCTAACTTCTAACTTTTCTTCCCCTCTCATCTAATTCTTATCATACCAACTTTTCTTTTCTTTTTTTAGATTCCTCTCTAACCATTATACCATATATCATAGATCATCTCTTCATATCATACTCTTATATATGTTTTTTTTTTCATCTTTCTATTAACTATTATTTGTATAAACTAATTCATAGGTAACTGATCTGTTTATTTTGAAGATCACCATCACCAAAAAATTTCTACCTTTTTTTCTTCCTTCATCTCATTCTCAATGGACACTGTTTTGATCTGTCCTAACGCAAAGGAACAATCCATTGCTACAACAAACAAGCAAATGAAAATCAAAACTTCAAAGAAAAACAAACGAGCTAGTAATAGTAATTTCACCTCTAACACCTATGCTGGTCTTTTGAATCTTCCCCCACACCAGCAACCACCACTGTTACCTCTGCCACATGTCTCTTCAATCCTTCATCACAATCCTTTGCTTCCACGAAGCCTTAACACTCAAACCTTGTCTCCAACACCTAAGAAATCGAAACCAAAAAAGAAAGAACAATCAAAGAAGAGATCGGGAACAAGGTCTGCACCGGAGGCTCTTATGGTTAATCCATGGGGACCCGACCCGAAAGATCTACCCAAAAATTTGCCGGTTGTTATTGGAATTGGAAACATTGACGTTTTTCCAGAGTCGGTTTTCAATCTAGCTCCACCACCTAGTAGCTTGCCGTTGCCAAAGTTTTCCATGAGATCGAAACTCAGTTGCAACACAGAAGCTGCTGCGGCTGTGGCGGGTAGTTTTGTTGACGACGGTGCAACGAATAATCTCCGGCGTCTTCTACGCCTCCGGTGAAGTTGTTCGCTTCTTTTTGTAACACGTGGTATTAATTTATGTTTTAATAGTTTTAATTATTATATGTAAATAAAATAATCGGCGAAGGTAATTTTGCTGATTTTCTTTTTGTTATTATTACTTGAATCTATGTGACCGCCTATGTTGTTTTTGAATTAGGGGTGCACCATCACCAGATCCATAAGTAGTAGAACTAGAACTATGTGTAATTTCTTCTTATATTATAATAATAAATTTTAATTTCATTAGTAGAACTATGTGTAGTTTCATAAATGGTAATTATGTGTTCTTTCTCAATTTATAAATGATCATAAAATATTTCAATTTATAAAAATGATCATAAAATAATATTATTTCCGATTCTTTTTAACTTTTTTTACCTAACTAAAAAATGAATTTTATTATTTTTTAAATAATATTATTTTTTTTCTAATAATAACCTTAATTTTTTAAAAATTTATTTGACTTTTTTCTCTGTAGTAAATATGTAAAGATGATTTTCACAAATTTACAATAAATAGAATTTTAAATTTTAAGATGACATTTAAAAATGAACAATTTTTTTTCTAAAAAAAATTGGAAGTACAAATAAAAAGATTAAAAAATAATTTTAAAATAATATTGTTTTGCTTGTGAACTAGAAAGGGTTTGTAAAATTGTGAAGTGTGATGTGGTATGATGGGAGTTAACTTCTAAGGTTAATATTCATATGCTTAAATTAGTAAGATAATCAGGAGTAAAATATAAGTTTAAATGAATTTTAATACGTGAAATGACACACCTCTTTTATATTTGAATTAGTAAGAGAATCAAGAGTAAAATATAAGTGCAAATGAATTTTAATACTTGAAATGACACATCTCTTTTATAGAGTGAGCCATTAAAATCGTTTGCTAGAGGGCGAAATTATTTGCCTAGATGGACCTCTGCGGGCTCTTTCACTAGATGTCGCTCTTGGGCCTCTCATTATGGGCCTTACGAACGACCCAAAGTTGCTCAAGCCCATGTCTCAACTTTGTAGGACAAGGTTTGTCGTATACGCCCTTGGGCCGACTGCTGACGAAGAGCCTTAATGTAACGTCACTTTCGTTGAAAACATGCGCGTTAAATGCCTTTTATGTAATAGGTAGTTGTAGTATTATATTTGTGAGAGACCCCATCTAGTTGTAGTATCTCCCGTTAATCATAAGAGAAGGAGTCGTACCACGACTCCCTAGAAAATAGGTAGTCAATAATCCCCGTTAGTCATGGGGGAAGGTGTTACTACCCTTAAGCGTTTGCTAAACCCTAATCCCAAAAGGCCAATATACATACTTCTTCCCTAAAGGGAGAAGGGGAGATAAATCAATTGTTACACATAACATCCAAAGGACTACACTGATATATAAAGTCTCTCACCTTATGTGAGCAGGTCCTTTAAAACCACCGTAAAATCACCATATATGGCTTTTCTCCGCCGTCGGCAAACCCTAATAACCCTCAATTGTTATAAACCTACTAAGGTCTTGGAGTATCCCTTACCATTCTAGAGACAACATGCGCACATGAACTTTTTGACTAGTATAGTGGTGCCCACCATGGGGTCCCAGTAAAACTAATATGAGCAACACCTTTTTCATTATAATCACCATACTCATTGTTACCCTTCAAGCCTATACCATGTTTTTCTCAGCCATGGTTAACGAGAGGGCTTCATCCTTTACATTGGAGGATACCGGTGGTAAAGGTGACTTCAACAGCATGACATATATGCGCGCTTCCATGGACATAATACACTGTCAGAATCAAACACTAGAGGATAATGTTCACAACATTAGACAATGCCAGCAAAAATCCAACCCCCTATAGGAGATGTAAGTATTTGACCCCAACCACTCTCAGACGAGATAAGAGAATAGTCTGTACCTGAAGGATTCAAACCTCCCTCTCTAGCCAAGTTTGATAGGCGCAGTGATCCATATGAACACATTGCCTCCACCAACATGCAGATGGCAATCATTGGAGCACTTGACTATCTAAAATACAAACTATTGTCTGAAACCTTCAGGGACACCACCTTACAATAGTATATGAGTCTATCCTGAGCTTTCATCGTCAGCTATCAAGAGCTGGTAAAGAAACTTGTGCATCAATTCACCACTAATTGTCACAAGAAGATGTCTACCACCAATTTGTTTAACATACAACAAGGTCCGTCAGAGCCACTGATGGACTATCTCACCCTGTTTAATGAAACCACCATCAGGGTTGTCCTTCCAAACTAATAAATATTGGCGGGGGTGTTCAAAAATGGACTTAAGGCGTGACTCTTCAATAAGTATCTCATCCAGATGCCAGCACTCTCAGCGCGAAAGTGATAACTAGAGCTAAATGTTACATAAAAGGCAAGAAGAGCAACAACGAGAAGAAGGCGCAAGACATCAAGGAGCATGTTCCCAACGCCAAAGGTTCACACCACCAGAGGAAGAGTGTTGCATCACTGCGAAGAGGGGCCGGCAAAGACAGAAGAGTCGCCACCGTTTGTTATTTATCCCAAAAAAGGGAAAGGAAACGATCAGAGAAAACCTACGGAAAAGGGATAAGACAGGTCATCGCAACCAAATCTTGGGTTCGGGAGTCGGTTACGTAAGGGGAAGGTATGAGCACCCCTCACGTTCGTTGTACTCAATGGGATCCACGCTTGTTGTCTATCTAAAATGGTGTTAGTTTATAAGGTTGGCCACAGGGACAAAAGAAAAAGAAAAGAGACTCGATAGAGCATCGCCGCTCTATGCCTACGTACTCCCTCGTGCAATGGGAAAGTCAGAGTCAACATAGTTCGGAAAACTGCGGATGAAGGTGGGGAAGGTTGCTCGCCAATACATCGCTGTCTTATGCCTACGTATCCTTGTCTGGTACGAGAAATTATAGCAAACGTAGTTCGGGCTAACAGGACCACAAGTTGGTTCAAGTGTTTTAACTGAGTAGGGTTACACCTTCGTTCTAGCAGTTAGGTGTATTGTTGCTCGACCATTGGAGACTTGGGCGTTACCTGTTTGCGGTAGAACCAAGACTTAACACACTCTTTCTGAAAATGATTTTCAATTAATCCCAAAGGATAAAAAAGTTTGATGTTTGTTTTTGTGTTTTTTTAAGAGAAGAAGTGAATTGAATTAGATTTGTAACTCGTGTTGCACTAAAGACTATGACTTGAGAGCGAATGTGTCGCATATCGCCCAAAGGGCATATGCTAAACACTCTATACAGTTGAGAGGAAACCCCCCAACCATCATTCCCCAAATGCTTAAGGCTCGTAGCGTACAATACTTATTATCCATTATTAGATGTCTTGAAGAAGTTTTGAGATGAGAAGAAAAGACACAAACTCTAAGGGGAAACTAGTCAACTCTAATGTTATCATGCAATGTGCTCCTATGATTGAGATTAAGAGGGAAGAACTATCATAATGTTATCATGCTTGGATTGAACATTTAATGTCTCTCCTACTCCCACCTTAAACAAATGAGACTAGGAATCCTAGGGGATCATGGCAAAGAAACCAAGTAAACACAAGATAAAATCAATCACAAAATGAAATGCAAGAAAGGGATGAATATGACTTAAACAAGTCAAGAGAAAATGAAAACATGATATGCAAGATGCAAGAGATGCAGAGCAAACAAAGAAGAGAACCAAGTGACTTAAACAAGTCAAAGAGAAAGTGAGATGAAATGGGAGAAGTTACAACTCCTACAACCATTCATGTATCAATCACTAATCTCAAAAGGTAAACACCACAACTTAAAGAAGAAGCCATGATCAAGATGAAGATGGGGGAATAGGCTTGGGCAGCAAGCAACATGAGAAATATCTCAACCAAATGCATCAAATTGATCATGCAAAAAGAAAGCACAAACATGTTCTCAAAGTGGTTTCTCATTCAAAGGAAACTCAAAGTGTGATCAATCAAACCAAATCACTTTGAATGAGTACCAAAACCCAAGGGACAGAAGTGAGAACATGAGAAGATAACTCACAAACAAGAGGAGAAACAAAGCATAAAAAAGTTACAAGCTAGGGCAAAGGAAAGAACCAAAGTTCAAACCACATTAAACACCTAAACACAAGTGGAAGGCCTAACTTCAAAGTGACTTGCAACACAAACCAAACAAGTGTATGACCTATAAAATTAAAACCAACATCCTAAGCATGTCAAGAATGTGAACCAAGAAGCATAGGATGCATATGGGATCCATCAAGGTCATCTCCCAAAGGAACTAGGTCAACTAGTTTATATGAACTTCAACTAGGGTGACTTGACTTGCAATGTTCACCAAAAATATGAGAATTGTTCAATAAATCTCAAATAAAATGAACAAAGCACCTAAACATGTTGGTAACTAGAGGCCAAAACATCCAAACCCGATTTCAAATAAGGCATCACCAAATGATTTGATCAACTAGGGTGTTCCACCTTATGGAATTATTATTGAGGGTCAAACAAAAGCAACACAAAGTCAAACAAAAATTGATCAAACCTTAATCAAAATCAGCCTCAAAGGTACCTCAATCCATCCTCAAGATGGAGACGAAACTTCATTCATTGATGATTGCAAATGGTACATCAAACAAGAATGATCAAGTGAGAACAATTTCAAAAACAACTCCAATTGCAAAATTCAAATTAAATTGCAAAATAAAAGAAAATTGAAATTAAAAATTATAGAAAATTAATTAAAGTTTTGAAATTTTGGAAAATAATTTTTGTGGAATTTTTAGCAATTTGGATCTATTTTTAATAATTGCAAAACAAAACAAATAAAGAAATAAAATAAAATAAAATGCAAAGGGAAATGGAAGTGCAGTAGCAAAACAGAAATGCAAAGGGATCAGGCAAAGCGCATAATGGGCTGAAAATCAGGGGGTGCCAATATCACTTCTGGTCCAATCCAAAAGCCAAAGCTCAGATTAATGAAACTCTGTGTTTCATTAATCCTACATGGAGTCAACAATGCCAAATG